CCCCTGAAGCCTAAACCCCTAACTTCTAAACCGTGACCCTATAAGCCCTAAATAACCCCAAGCCCTGTACCGGGGGACCCCTAGACCCTAAACCCTAAACCCTAAACCCTAAACCCTAAACCCTTCAACCCCCCAAAAAACCCTGCACTCCAAGGCTAAACTGCGCTCCAAAGAGCACTTGGCTACAGCTTGATGCTGCCACGGGAAGCCTCACAGCATCTGCTGAGGCTGGGTTCAGGGTTCAGGGTTGAGGGTTTACGGTTTAGAGCCCTAAACCGGGTTTAGAACCCCAAACCCTAAACCCTAAGAGTTTTGGGGTGGAAGTGCTGGAGTGGAATATAGGGGTCGGAAGAATTAGTGATGGAACCCTACAGAACAGAGGCTGACTGGTGCCTTAGGTTTAGGGACAATCGTAGATGGGAAAGGCTTAGGGTTGTTACGGTTTAGGTGGTTTAGGGTTTAGGGTTTAGGGTTTAGGGTTTAGGGTTTAGGGTTTAGGGTTTAGGGTTTTGGTTTCAGAAGTTTTCCTTATCCTGCCCAAATGTGCGTGCGTTGTTTCCATCGCTGCCGCTATCGCTCACAGCAACTAATCCTGGCTGCATCTTTAAGCCCTAAAGCCTCAAGCCTACAAGTGAGGCCCCTAAAGATTAGGGCTCGATGTTTTCGGGTCTTCAGAGCAAGGATCCTAAGTCGCTTGCTTAGGTTATGCATCAATGAATCATCAGCCCCGTCCTCGCGACGCTCATCACAATCGTCACCATCGCCATGCGTTCTCAACTTGGGTTTAGGGTTTAGAGTGTAGGGTTTAGGGTCTAGGGCGTTGTGTAAGGGATTGGGGGCTTCTGGTGCGGTTTCTTCTTGGCGCTCAACACCCTTATACCACTGAACAAGCCCGGCTTCCCGGCAAACCGGGGCCACCCACAAAAAGATTCACGCACTTTGATGTTTAGCGTTTTTGGGCTAAGATAGGGTCCAGGGGCTTGGGTTCGTATTCCGAGCAGCCCGGAAGTGGCTTTAGGCTTTTCCTGTTCCTGTTGGAAGCGAGGCTTTCGCCTCCGGCGCCGTGGACAATGTCCAAGACGTTTACGAGGGGCAAATGGGCGGCGTCTGTGACCCTTGGCTGGTGACCCTAAACCCTAAACCCTAGGCCCTAAACCGTGTACGGGGGCTTGAACAACTTAAGCCTTTGGGTTCCTTTTCAAACTTAAACTCCAAGCCCCAAAACCCTAAACCCTAAGCCCTCAACCCTTCCCCTGACCCTAAGGCCTAAGTCTTAAACTTTAAACTCCTATTCTGATTCGTAAGGGCCCTATATTGGGATCATTGCCTAGGGCCTAGGGTATTTGTGGCTCTATGCCTTTGGGAGATGGTGGTTGGAACATCGCCAACGTTTCAGATGCCAACGAAGGCAACCCTAAACCCTAACCCCCTAAACCCGAAACATCTAAACCCTGAACCTTCAAACCCCAAGCCCCTAAACCTAAAGCCCTAAACCCTAAAGCCGAGACCATCAAAGTTTGCATCCCAAACACACCTAAAGCCCTAAACTCTAAGCCCTAAAGCTTGAACCCTTTGGCATAGGAGTCGGATAAACTAGTAGTACGATTGTTCAGATTTCCGTATTAAGCTATCTTTTTAATAGTACAATATACCCCAAACCTTTTTCTAATGAGTAAGGCCTTTACATTACTCCAAGCCCGAAACCCTAAGCTCCTCGACAATTGGAGTGCTTGTGCTCCGCTTTCCCAGGAGCTTTCCGGAAATTGGACTGCGGATCCAACCGCTCCATCACACAAGAAGATCTCGAAGTTGTTGGTGGCGGCTTCCCAAGAAGATGATAAGAGGGTTTAGGGTTTAGGTTTAGGGTTTAGGGTAAGAGTTCAGGAATTTCTTGGTCTCTCTTCTGTGGTGGTAGTCATAGGGGTTACGGTAAAGGGGAGACGAAGTAGACATACTGGATCAACGTAGGGTTTGCCTGCAGCCCCCCAAAAACGACGTACCTTTGTAAGGCGGCAGTACGAAACCTTGAACACCTAACTTCGTGGGGTGCAAAACCCGAAACCGGTATGTCGGAAGGAAGAACAACAAGGTGTCCACTAAGGATACCTAATGCGACACTCTAAGTAAAGCCTTAACCCCTCAAGGGTAAACCCCAATTCCGAAAATATAGAGCCGCTCTGGATCCAATCGAACCCTCAACCCCCTTACAGAGCTTAAACCCTAAGCTTAACCCTAAACCCTAAACCCTAAACCCTAAACCCTAAACCCTAAACCCTAAACCCTAAACCCTAAACCCTAAACCCTAAACCCTAAACCCTAACCCCGAGACCCTAAACCCTAACATCCCCGGACCACGAGCCCGAAGTCGCGGCAAGAGGTGAAGCCAAAGCCCTTGGCGAGCTTGGAGCATCCCGGCTTGGGCAACACAGGGTTTGGTTTAGGGTTTAGGGCTAAAGTTTAGGGCTTAGGGCGTAGGGTTCAGGGTTTATGGGGTTTTGGGTAGGTTTGATGACACGAGATTTGGTGAGGATTACGTGGCTATGCTTTGCACTGCCACGACACGGTTTTGTAGGTTCTTATTATAGGCCCTAAACATAGAGAGTATTTGGCCCACAAAAAGGTCGGTTTGATTTCACTAGTTCAAGGTGGGGGTAATAAGTTTTAGGGGCTTAGGGTTAAGGGTTTGACTTTGGAGGCTGTGCTATTGAGGCTTTTGGGGACCTATCACTCCACCACGGTGAAGGAGGCTGCCCTAAAACCTACACCTTAAACCCTAAAGCCGAAACTGGCCTAAGCCCGAAACTGCTAGGCCCTAAACCCTAAACCCCTAAACCCTAAACCCTAAACCCCTAAACCCTAAACCCTAAACCCTAAACCCAAAAAAGGCATAGGGAAGTTTGGAGCAGCTTCGAGAGCCGGAGAGCTGCATAGAGCCTTCAGGGGGCAGCTCTTAGAGGAACCCCTCCCTTAAAGGAGCCCCTAAAGGAACCCTGATGGGATCCCCTAAAGGAACCCTTATGGGATCCCTCAAAGGAACCCTTATGAGATCCCTCATAGGAGCCCTTATGGGAACCTTGAAGGAAGCCTTAAAGGAGCCCTTGAAGGATCCCTTAAAGGAACGCTTATGGGATCCCTCAAAGGAGCCCCTGGAGGAACCTGCAGAACCCTTTGAAGGAATTCTTATAAAGGAGCCCTTATGGGATCCCTTAAAGGAACCCTTATGGTAACCTTGAAGGAACCCCTGATGAAGGAACCCTTAAAGGAGTTCTTATAAAGGAGCGCCTTTGAAGGAACCCTTATAAAGGAGCCGCAAGACAAAGGCACCCTTTAAGGGTGTGAAGGACTGCTTCGAGGGTTCCTTCGCGGGTTCTGTAAGTTCTTTCTCTAAGGCTCCATGATTTAAGGGCTTTGGGATTTAGGGTTGAGGGTTNNAGGGTTTAGGATTTGGGGGTATCAGGGTGGGTTGGGGTCGTGGGGCTTAGGGGGTTCAGATTTTGGGAATTTGGGGCTTCGGGCTAAACGTCCTCACCAGATTCTTCTAATTGCCGTCTTAGATTCCCTGCAAGGCGCCTAAGCGTCCATGCAAATCCTTTACCAAACCCGGCCAAAGCCGGTTCATCGCCAAGGTATTCCGCGACTTCCATTTCCACAGCGGTGGGCGAGAAGATTCCAGCGGTGGAGTTGAAGCAAGGACACCACTGTAGAGTCAGGGTTCAGGGCTTGAGGGTTCTA